TTTGTGTAAGGGTTTCGCTATAGACGTGGCTGAAAAAAAGCCACATCCACGCCCACACTCTCCATGGTTGCCATTATTCAGACAATTTTATCTAACCGTTCGCGTAACGTGTAAAAAGTTCGAGTATCATGTTACCTGACAACATATCAGTGTAGAATATGTGTTTTTTTGTTGAAACAAACTAGCTAAAAAAATCAGAGAGAAAAGTTTTTATTCAGAAGTAAATGATATATGCATCATAAGTTTTATCGTCAAGCTAATTTTCTCTTGTAACTAATAACACATGTTTCTTATAGCATTTGTGAAAATCCAAGGTCAGTATAGCAGGAGCTTTCCATATCGTTAGTTTTTTACGCACTTGTCGTAAGAAAAATGTAAATCAGTCATTGTGCTGGTTTTACACAGCGATAAAGCTCATAACGCATAGACGCGGCATCGGTAACCAAAGGGTTAATCTGATTTTGACCACTTTGGTTTCACGGGACCGTCGAGGTTTTCAAGATATGCCATCGGAAATTCAAGTTTCTAGGCTTGTTGTATTTGAAAAAGTTATAATAGACTACCTAATTCAATCTTGATTATCTTGGGTCGCATCTGTATTTGCTGTAGTTTCTGATCAAAAACGAGCGAAGAGAGTTATTACTTTTAGTCATACCTATTTCTACATGTTTATTTGATGATTTATTATATGGAAAACAAACGCTTGCTTGATACTCCGATAAAACATTGTTTGTCAAAATTTTACAGGAAAGTAAAGTAAAAACCTTTGGCTGTCATCTAAGTTCAACAACTTTCGCCAATTGTGTTCGATAATAAATCTTTTTCTAGAATGTCGGACATTACTGTTGTCAAAGTATTCCTTATCTACGTGTGCTCTTTCTGTTGTGATTTACTTACTTCAGTCGCGAACAAGCGATGATGACAACCACTAGTGGTTGACTTCCAGTCTTTCTTTTCTCTTCTTTCATTCTTTTCCATTTATTTTTTTTGTTTTCTTTCAGTGACATTTTTTCAAATGTTGGCTTGCAGAAGTATCAAATGCTGTATCATGCAAGAACGATGTTATGCAATTCTCATTTTTATTTGCAGAAAAATGTTTTATCCTACCATTCTCGCACTCCGTCCAAGGCAAAATTTTATTTTCATTCCTGTATGTTGATTTTATTAGATAAGCAACCGATTGCGTTTTACTAAAAATAATGCACATGACAGTGACACGTGTCAAAGAAAAGTGTGTGTGGATGTGGGTGTGAGTGTGGGTATAATAAGAAATCCTTCCACACCCATACCCACACCCTGTTCTCTTGTAGTTTTCTCGTTTATTTATAAATGAATACGTTTTAGTGTCTACTACTGGCGGAATTAGGATTTATGTTATCTAATGAATAATATATAGACGTCTCTAAAGATATAATAAATGAATCACAATATGCAATATGAAAACGGATTTCATTGTTTAGTAGAGCCTCGCTGATAGTATGTTACGTTATTTATTTTTTATAAAAAATATCTTTATAGTACAATGGAATTGGATTGTTTCGGTTTTAGAGGGAAAAAAATGAATTCCAAAAGAAACCAAATCAAGCAATAGTTGCACTATCTCGAAATATCATCATACTACGATCGTTCATTACATTTTAATAGAAAATCGTTACTATTCACTTTAAATCTACAATCTTTTACAAAATAATGCATGTACTGGAGTTTTTTGAAGTCGATGGATTTGTTGTAGTTGTAGACGGAAGATTCTCTCTTAGTAGCTTCTCTAAAGCCAATGCAAATCGATTAAATTCATGTGGTGGCAATTCCTCACCATTATATTTCTTAGAAAATAATCTTTCATAAATGTGCATTTGATTTTCACGGTCTTTTACCACTATTTT